TTTTGATGCGGTTTGGAAGATGATTTGATCGTTCGTAATTTCAATTAGAGTGTAGGGGTGAAAACTACAACAATTTCATAGTACATTCGTAATGAGTAGAATACCAGAATGGAATAAAATGTTTCATCAGTATTTTGTAATTAAAAAGCCTAAGTATGAATAGTGCTAAACAGTCAGAAATAAAAGTGCTATCAGGAAAAAAGTATATCCCAACCCACCATTTTTGAAAAGATCCGTTGCAAATGGATCATCAAATCCAGCCTCTGGCTTAGTTATCGCAGTTGCGGAGGTGGCTGAGCAAGTCGGAACAGCCCCAATAGCCAGTGAACCATTAGGATTAATGACTTTAGAATAGCCATCGACTGGGCTCGAGCCAAAAACGCTACTAAATGTCGGAGAAAAAGCGTTCTGGTCAAGGCCACTCTGAGCGACACTACCAACAGCATTGGCACTGACAGTCGTGAATGCCGTCTTGGTTGCGGTTGAAAAGGTTCCAGTAGCGCTGGAAGCGGAAATATGACCTGTTACAGATGTTGGCTCTTTGTGGGTCACTGAAAGCGTAGCCATGCTGTCTACCGGCATCAATGGTACGGACATGGCGCCGCCTAAAGACCGACTGGTGCTGGTGCCGAAACTCAGTGAGGTAGCTGTGGCCATTGCAGAGGAAGGTGGAGATAGGAAAACGGGTAATCGGTTGATTCCGCTAACACCAAGGCCGAGACCAGTATCTAAACTGTTCAGGCTGCCATTCGCCGTGTCGGAGGCTTGGTCACCTAACTAGACCAATGATATCGAGAAAACAGCAAAGCAAATCCTGTGTAAGTGTCGTAGCGCAACAAAAACTAAAAATTGTAGTTATAAAGGCAAAATAAACTAGAAACGCGCTTTTCAAGCTTCGTTTCAGTTTGATTAAATATCGAATGTTATAAAAAAGAGCATTCCTATTTCCAAACAGCAAAGCACCCATGCCAACGATGAGTACAAAAGAGTTAATCGAAGATATGAAGACCAAGATTGTGTGGCTCCCGGTATGGTCGCAGTCTCCTTTCGATTTATAGAAGTGGGTAGACCTCGTTGTCGCAACTTGGTCTTGCTGTCAGGAGCACTTAGTAGAACGCACCTTGTCCGAAGTCCTCTGACACAGTAGTTATCATAATAATTATGATAAAAGGATATCAAAAAACTATAGCTTAGAACCAAAACAGCAGCGTTCAAAATGTCTTAAGGATTTTAATTTAAGTCAAAAGAAGAAATAGATGTTCATGGCATTAAAGTGCATGAGTTTCTTTCAGTTAAGGTGTACCAAATTTATTTAGGAGATTCAACCAGAGGGAAAACTGGCTTTATTTCAAGCCATGAACAAATTCGAAATAATATGACGAAAATTAAGTCAAATTGTTCCAACGTCTGCTTCTCACAGATTAAACAAAGCACTTCAAGCGTATTTTATGGCCTGTCTATAGGCCTTCTGTGTCTCGGGGAGCAAAGCATAAGGATTTTACATGGGCGAATGGTCGAGGAGAAACGTTGCTGTAGGAGCCCGAAAATGTGGCACTGTTGTAGGAGACTGTACTAGATGGTGACAGAGTGCATCGACATCGTCTCAAAAATATTGTTTTATCAAGAAGCTCTACTCACTAAATACTTTGTGAGATATCAAATATGGTCGCTATTATATGTAGAAGGATTGACAAGTCCTTTTGCTTGGGGGCCAATGTCTAGGTGGTAGGTGGAGACCACAGCTAACGAGATAGTTAATTGAAATATACCATGAGTCACGTCAGGTGATGCAAGAAAATTAGTGTAATTTCTCACAGTGAAGACAGTGAACGTCCTCACGATTGCACAGGATTCGGGCCGTAATGCAGCTTTGACCTTGC